AAGTCCAGACAAAATGGTGTCACAGCTGAATTCTACCAAACATTTAAAGAGCTAATACTCATCCTTAAAAGTATTCCAAAAAGCAGACAAAGATGAATACTTCCAAACTCATTCTATGAGGCCAGCATCACTTTAATACCAAAACCAAAGACACTACAAAGAAAAGACTATTATAGACCAATATCCCTGATGAACATAGATGCAAGAGTCCTCGACAAAATGCATTAGCAAACTGAATTCAAAAATACATCAAAAGGATCATCCATCACGACCAAGTGGGATTTATTCCAGGGCTGCAAGGATGGCAAAATATTTGTAAATCAGTCAATGTGATACACCACATTAACAAAAAGAAGGTTAAGAACCCTATAGTCATCTCAATAGATGCTGAAAAAGCATTTGACAAAATTCAGCATCCATTCATGATAAAAACAATTTCAACATAATAAAGGCCACATACAACAAACCTACAGCTACCATCATACTGAATGGCAGAAAGCTGAAAGCTTTTCCTCTAATGCCAGAAACAAGACAAGAATGTCCTCTCTCACCACTTTTATTCAAAGTACTGGAGATTCTGACAATCAGACAATGTAAAGACACAAAAGGCATCCAAATTGGTAAGGAAGAAGTTAAACTGTCATTTGCAGATGGCATGATACAGAAAACCCTAAAGATTCCACCAGAAAACTATTAGGACTAGTGAGTGGATTCAGCAAGTTTCAGGACACAAAATTAATACACAGAAATCCGTTGAATTTCTTCCTATACACCAATAAATTAGGAGAAGGAGAAATCAGAATAACAACTCCATTTACAATTGAATAAAAATACCTAGGAATAAACCTAACCAAGGAGGGGAAAGACCTGTACTCTGAAAAACATAAGACACTCATAACAGAAATTAAAGACAAATAAATGGAAATCTCTTCCATGCTCATGGATATGAAGAATTAATATTGTGAAAATGGCCATCCTGCCTAAAGGAATTTAGATTCAATGCAATCCTTATCAAAATGCTAATGACATTTTTCAATGAACTAAAATAAGTAATCCTAAAATTCATATGGAACCACAAAAGACCCTAAATAGCCAAAGCAATCTTATGAAAAACAAAGCTGGGGGGTTTACACTCCCTGACCTCAAGCTATACTGCAAACCTACAGTAACTAACAGTATAGCACTGGCACAAGAACAGATCCAGAGATCAGTGTACGAGAATAGAGAGCCCAGCCAGATATAACCACACATATATGGTCAATTAGGACACGATAAAGGAGCCATGAATATACAATGGGGAAAAGACAGCCCCTTCCACAACTGGTGCTGGGAAAATGGGACAGATACATTTAAGAAAATTAAACTGGATTATTGCCTAATTCTATACACAAAAATAATCTCGAGATGCTTTAAGGACCTAATGTAAGATGTGAAACTGTGAAACTCTTAGAAGAAAGCATAAGCAAAGACCTCTTGAATGTAAGCATGAGCTATTTTTTCTGGACACATCTCCTCAGGCAAGTGAAGCAAAATAAAAAATGAACAAGTGGGACCACATCAAACTAAAAAGCTTCTGTACAGCAAAGGGCACTATTGGCAGAACAAAAAGGCAAGCTACAGTATGGGAGAATGTATTATTAAGTGATTTATCCAGTAAGGGGTTAACATCTCACATATATAAAGAACTCATATGACTCAACAACAAAACACAAACAACATGATTAAAAAATGGGCAGAGAACCCGAAGAGACACTTCTCCAAAATGCAAATACAGATGGCCAACAGGCACATGAAAAGATGCTCCACATTGCTAATCATAACGGAAATGTAAATCAAAACAACAAAAAAATATTACCTCACACCAGCCCAAATAGCCACTATCCAAAAGAAATAAAATGTGTTGGCAAGGAGGTGGAGAAAAGGGAACCCTCCTACACTGCTGGTGGGAATGTAAGTTGGTGCAGCCACTATAGAATGCAGTATGGAGGTTCTTTAAAAAACTACAAAATAGAAATACCATATGACCCAGTAAGTCCACTTTTAGCAATTTACCCAAGGACAACAAAATCTCTGGTTTGCAAGGAAGATATATGCACCCCTATGTTCATTGCTTCATTATTTACAAGATATGGAAGTAACCAAAGTCTTATCTATAGATGAATGGATAAAGAAGATGTGGTACATATACAAAATGGAGTACTATTCTGACATAAAAAAGAAATCCTGCTAGTTGCAACAACATGAATAGACTTGGAGGGTATTATGTTCAGTGAAATAAGCCAGGTGGAGAGAGACAAATACCATATGATTTCACTTATTTGTGGAATTTAAAAACAAAACAAAATGAACAAAATAGCAGTAGACTCAGACACTGAGAAACGACTGGTAGTTACCATGGGGAAAGGGTTGGGGTGGATGGTGAGGGTGAGGGGGATATATGTATATATCAAAATTTATATATGTATTTTGTATATATATTAAAAACAAAAGCTTAAAATGGTTATCTCTGGAAGAATTTTGTACAGGTGAATGTGTACGGATTTAGGAATAGGACTGTCTCTGTTTTCAATTTCAAAAACAACTGGGTGTTACCTAGAAAAGGATGCTATTTCTTTTGTCGAATAAAATATTTTAAAGCACATCATCTATGAACCTTGGGAGAAGGAAAAGGCTTATTTTATGAAAACCCAATACACCCTACACATCTCACTAGGCTTATAGAAAGGAGTAAATGATATAAATGATGACTCTAGTCAAAAGAAGATTCGTCTATGTTGTCTTCTGCATTTAAAACATCTGGGAAATGTATAAATTTGGAAAATTTTCATCCAAAAGTATTAAAATGAAATACTATTAGCAGAGATGGGAAAGGTGGGAGGAGCTTAATAACAGCCATTCCGAGGTTCCCAAGACCCACTGTTATGTGTTAGCAGTTATCCCATTTTTCTCTCAAGTTAGTGATTTAATGCAATAACCATACACAGAGCAAGCAGACACAGTGCTGGTGTTAGGTCATTACAAATATAAAAAAGCATAAGGTCTACTCCCACTAACTAACTAGCAGAAGAAACAAACTCTAAGAAAGAATCACAAAATAAAGTGCTGTTACAAAAATGGGGCCTACTGGCCAGGAAGCACACAAAAAGATGTTCAACATCACAAATGCAGATCAAAACCACTGGATACACACTTGCAAATGCCTACATCCAAAAAGCCACATGATAACAAGTAAGAGCTGTGGGGAATTAGAGATCTCACTGCAGGTGGGAGTGTAAACAGTGTAGCTGCTTTGGAAAACAGTTTGGCAGTTCCTTAAAAAGTTAATTAAGGAGTCATCTTCCAGCCCAGCAAATCCACTGATTGATACATGCCAAAGAGAAATGAAAGCATACGCCCACACCAAAACTTGTACACAAATATTTATAATAGAAGTGGAGACAAACCAAATATCCATCAACTTATGAACAGACTTAAAAAAATGTGGTGATTCCTTACAAGAGAGTACAGCATAAAACTAATGAAGGACTGATAAAAGCTCCACAGGGACGCCTGTGAAAGCATTATGCCAGGTGAAAGAAACCAGGCACAAAAGGCCAGACTGTATGATGCCATTTATATGAAATGTCCAGAATGAGCAAATCCACAGTGATAGATCAGTGGTTATCAGGTGTGGGAGAAGAAATGGGAAGTGACCGCTGGGGGTACAGATTTCCCTCTGGGGTGATGAAGATGTCTGGGACTCAGTGGTCATGGCTGCACAAACCTGTCAATATACTAAAGTCACTGTTATACACTTAAAATATTGAGTTTTATGTATGTGATTTATATGAATAAAAATAGGGGAGGTGGCATAAAATAAGGGCTCCAGGATTGCATGGAAGGGATCCGTTCTGACCGAGGCAGAAGGAAAACGCTCCACATCCGAGCTCAGTAACGACAGGGAGATATGACAGGGAGATTCATGGCGAAAAAAGGGAGAAGAGCATTTCTACAGGGCAACCTCGTGTGCACATGCGCCATGTCTGCATGAGAAGAAAGGCCGAGAGAGTGATTCATCAGGCCCGAAGAGCCCTGTTCCCACATCAGGTGAGGAAAGTAGAATGAATTCTCGTAAAGCAACCTAACTTTCTTCAAGGAGGAAGCACTCCATGAACGCTGGACCAAAACCCACTCCAAAAACAGATTAACCATTTGGACTCTCCCTTCCCAGTTTTCAGGAATGCTATCTATTTAACTAAATGCTTTATGAAATATACAATGCCAAGTTCTTTAAGCTTCAGGAAAAGCATCTGGGAAGGATCCCCTGGGTTGCTTGACTTTTATCAGCTTAGTAATTCATGTTTATCACTAGGATATCAAATGGCCAGGAAAGAGTGAGACAAAAGGAAACACAAGCAAATCTGTGTCAGTAGGCTCACCGTAAGCTAGCTGGAGGAATACTGCAAGTACTTCCAACAGATTATTTTTTCTACCTACAGCCCTTGAAAATGATTTGCAGATCAGCACAAAGAATCACCCTTCGTTGAGTTCAAGTTCACTATCAACCCCATAGGAGGTTCAGGATTGCCTCACCTCTTTCCCCATTCAGCTCAACAGTTACAACTATTTGCTCACTTGTGCCTTACCCCCTTAGGACCCTAAACCAGCGGTCTGGCAAACTTCCTCAGAAAGGGCCTAGATGTGAAATACTTTCATAGCCACTGAAAGCCACACATCTGTCACATATGCTTCTTTGCTCTGTTCTGTTTTTTTGTCTGTTTTTTAAACAGTCCTTTAAAAATGTAAACATCAACTTTACCCCCTGGGCCACATAAAAATCAGTCAGCTAAGCCCCGCTAAACAAAAATAGGCAAAAGATCAGCCATAGTGATCAAAGACCTGCAGGTGTGTGTCTGCACACTGTGTTTTTTGTATATGTGAAAAATCATCTTAGGTTATCTGCATACAGGCTGAGGGATAAGATGAAGACAGGTAACCAAAATGAGCAACTCTATCCTTACCTAATGATTGGAAGAAAACCGAGTAACGACACTCATAGAGTGAAAACAGGTACTGCCGAACTGCTGGAAGACTGTGCAACACTTCCAGGATCTCTGCTCCTTTAATAACCTAGACATTAAAATAAATACATAAACAAATGTATAAGCTTTTCATGTACTTCAGTTAGACGATCATGGGAATATGTTTAAATATGAGAACTGAAGACTCAGTCATTACCTTTTCCCTCAGATCTGGTCTCTCTAAGGCAATCATGCTGACATAGACAGTATAAGTCACAAAGGTTTTATAATCCATGAGTTCATAGGAAGTAAATGTTGAAACTGTGTCCAGAAAGAGCTCAGCTGCCTGTTTGAAATCACGGATAGCCACACAATAGAGACCCTGATACACTTTCAGGCGGTTTCTCCTGTCCCAATCTCCTCCTTCTTCTATTAAGCTATAAAATAAGAAACAGTAAGGTCATAATCTAGAAAAAGACAATGCCAACTTTTTATCAGTTTTGTGTTATTTTCAAAGAGAAAACAACTTCTAACAACTTGAACCAAAAGAAACTAAAGAAAATATTTTACTAAGTACATCAATTATGATTAAATTTACCAGTTGTAAATAAAAGAAAACAAGCAAATTTCTTGCATTAACTTCTAGTTTCTAGCGTAAGTCAGAGGGAATACATTCCCACTGTGAAAGGTACCTTTTGGCCTTTTCGGTGTTTCGTGTGATGAGATCGTTATCCATATAAAACAAGCCAATCCTAAGGAGATAGAACACAATATCCAGTCGGTGGCCCAGGGCCACGGTTTTGTCGTACGTCTTGCGAAAGGCTGTCAGAGCGCCCTCCTGTCAAGAGAACCCAGACAACAAAGAAGGAAAGGTTACAAGTTTCAAAAGCTATCAGCTGCCTGGGATTTTCTTAACAAGGAGCTGGGAGAACAGCTAGGAGGAGAGAGAAGACACTGTGGCCATGACCTGACAACTGTTGAGGCTGGGTGATAATCACCTAGGGGTTCATTACACTATTCTCTCCATTGTATAAAATATAAGAAATACAACAGATATGCCTAAGCATATAGTTAATAGTCCAGAAAGAAAGAAAATCACTTACATAACTTATCCACAATTCTATCAATACTTTTTATTCCACCTAATCAATACTTCTCCCTTTAACAATTATAATGCACTACTTCAAATTATTGTAATTTATCATATCGCTTACAGGGTAATGGAAACTTTATCTCATTCACTGACTGTTAGGAGACAACTAAGTACTTAAATACACAATTCTCTCAAAGCATGGGGACTACAGGCATACCACATTTTACTGAGCTTTTGCTTTATTGTGCCCCATATACTGTTGTTTTGTTTTGTTTTGTTTCGAAGGTTTTAATAACCCTGCATTGAACAGATCTAAGGGCACGTTTCTAATGACATCTGCTCACTACACATCTATGTCGCATTTTGGTATTCTCACACTATTTCAAACTTTATTACATTTCTTATGGTGATAGCTCAGAAAGTTAGCATTTTTAAGCTATACAGTATTGTGTGCTTAAGGTATGTGCCTTGTTTTCTCAGATATAATGATACTGCACACCTACAGTATGTGGAAACGTGACTTTCATATGCACTGGGAAACCAAAAAATTAATTTGGCCTTCATTATAGACAGTAACTGCTTTATTGTGGGGCTCCGGAATTGAAGCCACCATATCTCTGAGGTATGCATGTAAAACATTTCTATTGCTTTAAAAACATGAACATGAATAAAATCATTTGTTTATACTTAGTACATTTTAGTTTATGTCCAGCTTTGTTTTCTGCCATCATTAGTAGTTTTCTGCCATCATTAGTTATGCCTCATAAATTTAGAGAAGGGATTGGCAAGACAGCAGTGGGCACAGGCAGCACTCAGGCTTAGGATTCGACACCCCACCTCCCCACACACAGAAAACAGATTCCAGGAGAAAGAGACAGGCTTGGAAAGTAAGACAGGTGGGCCCGTGACATCTTGAAGTATGAGAAAATAAGGAAGATCAATGAGATCGTGTAAAAAGGACAAAGAAGCCCTCTTGAAGGCACTTTCACTAAGAAATTTATAGAAAACTGAGCATCACAAAGAATGATTATCATTAATGATAACAGTGAATAATAAAATCAATTTAGCAATATTACTATTAGTGATACTAGTATTATTTAGTAAATATTAGTAATATTACTGTTTAGTAATAGCAAATAAAATATAAAAACACAGAAGGGGAAAAAAAGCTGTTTTTCAAAGAATGCTACCTAATAAACATGGAATATTAGAACATCACCAACTTACAAGCCCCTGATGTTGATTCAAGCATGTCCTTTTTGAAATTCTTCAAGGCCTGAGTCAAAAGCTTTAAGTTTCTCACTGACATGTAATAATGTATCCTCTTTAAAACTAAACCAAATCAAACCGCACACACACTAGAAAACCACACAAATTATTAGCTGTTTTTAAACTGTTCTGTATTTTCCAAATTTTGACAATTTCCAAATCTTAAATTTATAATCCGAAGAAAAAAAATTTGTCCTAAATTTAAATTGAGTAATAGCTCCAATTATTTAACATGTAAGCACTCTGAGCCAGGTATGAGTCTAAGCTCTGCCCTATCTCTAATCCTCATTAAGTTAGAACTGTCATTAGCCATACTTTATGGATGAGGAAACTGAGGGCCCAGTAAATCAGAGGTACTGAAAATGGAAATAAAATCCAGGCAATCTGGCCCACGAGCCCACACTGTTTTCTTTTATACTGGCACTAAGTCATTCACATCTAAATTCTTCAGTGTGCACTGCTTGAAATTAAGGACATTCAAAACCTATCCTCTTAACCTGTATTACACAACTGATACAGTAAAAATTAGAAAGATCAAATACTTGTGGGTGTCTCTATCGTGTACTGATAGTGGAGCTTAAATTAGGTTGGCTTCTGTGTGCAAGACCTGGCCATGCACATCAGGAAACGAATTTGTTCCTTGCACCTACTATTTCATTTCATAGAATAGAATGTTCTCATAGAGAACATAAGCTTATGTACACAAGGGAGTATATACTACCATGTTCCACAGCAGCAGCTTCTATCAGCAAAAGCAGCTAAGAACGACATACATGTCCAATAATAGTTAGTTAATAGCCAAGTTAACTACGGCATAGCCCTACCATGGGCTATTAGGTAGCAATGAACTAAAATAAGCAGTATTTGTGAACACAAACATGAGACCATCACTCAGATACAATGCTGAATGAAAAAGTAAACAGGACAACATGAAAACACTATGACCCTGTTTTGTTTAAAAAAAATTTTTTGAAGCACAAAACTACCTCATTTCTAATGCCTATAAGTGTACAATGTAAAACTAAAAAGCTTAGTTTAGAGAAATGAAATAAACAAATATCAAATAGAACTTAGCACTAACTATAGTATTTTAGTTTTTTATAAGGGGGCTATTATTAGGGGAAAAAACAATTCTTAAAATGCACTGAACCAATGTTTCCCAAACAAGATACATGAGAAGAGTGAACTATCGAAAATGACCCCAATTTTGCAAAAGCAGTCAACGAGAAATCAACAATCCCAGCATGCACACTCATGCTTTTATCGTTAAGAAAGGAAAGGGGAAGAAAACACAGCAGGCTGCTGTTTGGGGCAGGTGACAGAAAGGGTGGAGCAATAGCATCCACTTTTTGTTTGTGCATTTCTGCAACAATTCACCAATTCAGGTAAGCATGTTACCCTCACACATTTTCAAAAAGGAAGTTAATTTTTAAAACGAAATATTATTGACCTAAAATAGTGCCCATGTCTCCCCACTCACCTTGTCACCTATCCGGCAGAGATACTCGGCCTTTGCCATCATGTAGAGAGAGAGAGAGAGAGAGATGTGACTTATGGGCAGGGGTCCTCGGATCCTAAAGTCAGGGTCACGCACACACTGTAGAAGACCCACCAGCCTCCTATCCACTACCAGGAAGGGGTGGGGTAGAGCTCGGTACAGGGATGCACAAAACGCAGTCTTGTCCTTGTGCTGGGAGGTTTGCATCGGGGCCCATCCTGGCACCGCCCACCTCTACCATGGCAGGTGGAAGGCTACCCTCCGCTCACTTCCTAACGGGCTCTGATCCTCAGGTCTTGCAACAAGGGAAAGGGTAAGCCGGACCAAACACGCAAACCCAGACAGGTTCTGCTCAAGCGTATACACCCCAGTGCCACGGGCTGCCAGGGAGGGCTACAGGGCCCAACCTCGAACTGCTCCTCGCGCGGAAAGCTTGACTCTCCCACCCCAGCCCAGGCGGCCGCCGCTACAGGAGGCCGCGAACCCTTCTCCGGAACCTGCACCGACCTAAGCCCCGGAGGGTTCTGCCCCAAGCCGCCCTCAGGGGGCGGCTGGCGTCCCCGAGGGCACCCCCGGCCCACGGAGGCCCCGGCGGGCTGGGAGGCAGGCTTGGTCCCGGGGACCCCGTCAGGCCCGGAGCCCGTCGGGGGGCGCCCGTAGGCTCCGGGGCGCGGGGCCGGCCCGGGCCTAGGCCGCTGACTCGGCGCTCGGCGGGCCTCACTATTATCGCGGACGGCCGCCATCAGCTCGTCGCGCACGGCCGCGTTCCCGCGGTGCTCCGGCAGGCTGAGCAGAAAGCGCAGCTGCGCTATGCGCAGGTCGGGGTTCTTCGGCAGACCCTCCTCCTCCAAGTTCTCCAGCGGCATCTCGGCGGCCGGCGCAGCGGCTCAAGACGGACGGCAACTCCGCGCGGACCCGGGCGGCTGCGGCCGCGGCACCGGAAGCCGGAGGAGTCGGTGAGTACGGCCGGCCGCTCCGGCCCGGCTTCCGGTCCCGGGTCCGCCTCCGCCGGCAGCGCCCTCTGCGGGACGCATCTGGGAATGCCTCGCCCGGCTTGGGCACTGGCGCCCCCGTGTGCTTTCTAATGGCTTTCCCTGGTTCTCGGCCCCGCGCTTCCCAGTATGGGCGGGGCCCGACTCCAAAGTTAGATTTCATGTAATTCCTCCCTCCCTTTTTAGCTATTTTGCTTTTCATTCCCTTTATAATTAAGAGGACCTGGCACTCTTTTGAAAAGGCTGAAAATTAATATTATTAATAATAATAATATATCTGGTATAAGCAGGGTTATGGCAGATGGCTTAACCAGCTCCAGAGCAGTTTACAGCATTAAAACAGCGATATCCAGAGTGCTGTACAAGATCTGCTGAGTAAACAGGAACCGTTTCATCAGGAAATGATAGCAACCATTTCTCCTCTGCAAAGGAGAAATGTCTCCCCGCAGTGGGAGGAGGAGCAAAATTGACCACCCTAACACGATCTCACGCCACAGAACGAGCATTAACATCACAGGCTGGCAAAAGCAGTAAGTGCTCATTTTCTGCGCAATGTTGGCCAAAAAAGATTCCATCAACAACTGAATTCTGCAGCACCCCAGCGGAAGAAAATGGCTGAAAGGATTCTCCGCATTTTGGATCCAGTTACCGGTACAAAACAATCACCTGAAAATCCATTTTCTGAGTCTTTTCCAACCACCTTACTTGCTACAGTATTAACGCAATTCCATTTTTATACTAGATACGAAAATACAATTTTCAATTACTGTAATCACTGCCAGGGAAACCTTATTGTCCCTTTAACATTCAGTATGTTGGGAGGCATGCTACCAGCACGTGCTTACTCCCTAAGAGTCATTATTTGGGAGCTGAGGTTCTTTTAATCCTAGAAGTAATATCACTTTTTATTTAAATAATACATATCCTCAAAGAAGTTTTAAGTACTGGACTATACATTACCCTTTATTAATAGTTCAGGGTAAGAAAGAAAAAAATGTATATAGTAATCATAACAACAAAAATAATAGCAGTAACGATAACAACCACCACAATTTGTCCTTACTCTTTGCCTGTGAACTATCTTTTACTTTTATGTGAACTATCTCATTTAAATCTTCCTAACACTAGTACTATCAGCCCATTTCACAGATAAGAAAACTGCGGCACAAAGATGTTAGGGAACATGATCAACCAAAGTTATGTAGCAGCTCTGTAGCAATGTCTGCCAGGAGCTCAAAAACCCATGTTCTTTCTGCTGCTTTAAGAAAACTGCATACAAAATTCCACAGTCTTCATACAACAGCAGCATCATTTTGCTCATGCATAATTTGAATCACTGCATCATGCCTTATACTTTCAGCCTCCTTTTGTTCACATTGCTACAGACATTGAAACTGGTTAATGGTTACATGAAATTCCATCCAATGGATTTGCCGTAATTTATTTTCGCTCTTCCCTCCTTAAGAGGCAGCTTTAGGTTGTCCAGGTTGCTATTTTCCTAACATAAAAACAGAGATGAACACCTCAGGATGTATATGTTATCTGGTGTTTTGCATTTTCCCACCTTAGCATAACTTTCATTGCAGGATTAATAAGCAAAAGGAAGGAATGTCTTGTGATATGGGGGGTATTTTATGTCAGATGGCTTTTCAAAAGGGTCGGACATTTAGGACTGCCATATTCTTACAGCAGTAGGCATTACCAATGTTTTTAATACCTTATCTGTTTTCATAAAAATAAAACGAGCATTTTGAAGAACACAGAAACATTTACTAGCACACCACCATGTTAAACTTTTGGTGAAGAACTTTCTAAGTATCTTTCACTCATTCACTCACCAAACTTTATGGCATGGCTGCAAGGCACTAGAGACACAGTAGTGAAGAACTCAAAAGCCCTGTCCACATGGAATATTCTAGAGATACTTAGCTTCACGGAAATTCACCTAGCTATATTAACAGGATCATTCTATACTTGCACCTTATAAACTGTTTTGTTCTTTCTACCATCTATCACCTTATTTTGCTATGCCAATAAATACAGATCGATTGACATCATCACGTCTAATGACCACACAGGATTCCATTATTTTTGTGTACCAACTTTTTCACCATCAATCCTTACTCGGGATTGATTTGAATCATTTTCATTTTCTCACTCTCATACATACCACAGTGTTGATCGTCTATGTGCACGTTTTTTGTAATACTTGTGTAATTATTTCTTAAACCAAATGCCTAGAAGGGGAAATTGCTGAATAAGAGGGTCTGAATGTTCTTATACCTTGATATATATAATAATAAGGACTATATAAATTATTTTCCTGGAAGTGATACAGCAGTTTGCATTCCCACCAATATTACACAGAGAGGCTATCACCCCTCTTTGCCAATGTACTGTTATCAACCATTTTAAGCTTTGATAATAACAATGCTGCTTTTCCTTTGTTTTATTATTATAAGGTTGAATTTCTTTTCACACTTGCCCTGACTATACTTCGTCTTTTATGAAATGTCTGGTTTGCAATGTCAGCTCCTCTGTGGAATTTTCCTTATTAATCCATAAGCATTCCTCATTTCTTAAGGCTACTAACCGCTTGTCAAGTATTGCAAAATATTTTCGCTCTTCCCTCCTTAAGAGGCAGCTTTAGGTTGTCCAGGTTGCTATTTTCCTAACATAAAAACAGAGATGAACACCTCAGGATGTATATGTTATCTGGTGTTTTGCATTTTCCCACCTTAGCATAACTTTCATTGCAGGATTAATAAGCAAAAGGAAGGAATGTCTTGTGATATGGGGGGTATTTTATGTCAGATGGCTTTTCAAAAGGGTCGGACATTTAGGACTGCCATATTCTTACAGCAGTAGGCATTACCAATGTTTTTAATACCTTATCTGTTTTCATAAAAATAAAACGAGCATTTTGAAGAACACAGAAACATTTACTAGCACACCACCATGTTAAACTTTTGGTGAAGAACTTTCTAAGTATCTTTCACTCATTCACTCACCAAACTTTATGGCATGGCTGCAAGGCACTAGAGACACAGTAGTGAAGAACTCAAAAGCCCTGTCCACATGGAATATTCTAGAGATACTTAGCTTCACGGAAATTCACCTAGCTATATTAACAGGATCATTCTATACTTGCACCTTATAAACTGTTTTGTTCTTTCTACCATCTATCACCTTATTTTGCTATGCCAATAAATACAGATCGATTGACATCATCACGTCTAATGACCACACAGGATTCCATTATTTTTGTGTACCAACTTTTTCACCATCAATCCTTACTCGGGATTGATTTGAATCATTTTCATTTTCTCACTCTCATACATACCACAGTGTTGATCGTCTATGTGCACGTTTTTTGTAATACTTGTGTAATTATTTCTTAAACCAAATGCCTAGAAGGGGAAATTGCTGAATAAGAGGGTCTGAATGTTCTTATACCTTGATATATATAATAATAAGGACTATATAAATTATTTTCCTGGAAGTGATACAGCAGTTTGCATTCCCACCAATATTACACAGAGAGGCTATCACCCCTCTTTGCCAATGTACTGTTATCAACCATTTTAAGCTTTGATAATAACAATGCTGCTTTTCCTTTGTTTTATTATTATAAGGTTGAATTTCTTTTCACACTTGCCCTGACTATACTTCGTCTTTTATGAAATGTCTGGTTTGCAATGTCAGCTCCTCTGTGGAATTTTCCTTATTAATCCATAAGCATTCCTCATTTCTTAAGGCTACTAACCGCTTGTCAAGTATTGCAAAATTTGCAAAATTTCCTCTAATGATTGGTCAACATCTTTACAGACTTTTTTTTCAACATAAAGTTTACAATGTTTATGTAGTTAAAGTTATCAATCTTTTTCTGTTTGGGCTCTGTTCTCAACGTCAGTCAGGTCTCAGTAAGAGCTTTCCAATACCGTGGTCTGAAAAGCACTCCCCCGCGCTTGTCTCTGAAATATTTATGCCTTTCTCTTGTTTTCTTTCCTTCTTTTAGGACTTAAATATTTGATCCATCTTGCATGTACATCTAAAAAGTAAGGTATATGGCCCACTGCACTGAAAATACTTTTACAATTTATGAGGAAAAAAAAAAAAAGGACTATAACCACATTTTTCTAGTCCAGAATTCATTACTTATTATAAGGTTGGGCACTGGCGCCCAACATAAGATTTGACAGCCAAGAGTATTTGCAATTAGCTTGATCTTAATGAACCTGTCCCCAAAGAGGGACCTTCTCAGGCCTTGGAGCTCTGAACCCAAAGCAGAGCAGATCAACGGAGCCAAAGGAAACCAGTTCACTGGCAGGTCGGCGCCTCAAGACTGATCTGGCTTGTCTCAACTAGGCGAACTGGTTGGACAAATTCTGTCGTCTTCTGCAGAATTTGCACTGGGCAACTCCCTAGTGGTGTTCAGACAGAAGCAGTCCAAGAAAGCCAATATCTGAGTAATAGTTCTAGAAAGAGAGAATGGCCAAAAGGATCGAGAAGAGAATCATTCTAGAACCGAAGGACACAGCATCTCTAGTTCGAAGGAATCCACTGGGTACCCAACAAGGTGGATTTTTTAAAAAGGGCACCTCACTGTGAAAATTCAGAACAATGGGCAGAAGAGAACATTCCAAAGGTTTTCACAGAGAAGAAAAAAGGTAGCTGAAAAAAAGATTAAGAATCAGAATGATTCGTATCTTAGGAAATGCAGCACTGGCGACCAGAAATGGCGGAATGAGGCCTTCAGAAGGTCAAGGTAAAGTGCCAACCGAGAATCCCATAGGCAGCCTTTATTCTGAATGCATCTGGACACTTTACTTCCTCCAACATCTCAAAGGTTACCTCCCATCACCCATTCTCAGAAAGAAGCCACAGCAGATGAACATGTCTAGAAAATGGGGAGTGCCACTCATGAGCAGAGGGACCCCCTGGATTGGGAGAAAGGGTGATCTC